GAAATCGTGGTAGATGGGTGGTGGCTCTTCTTTTCATATATTTCTCCACCATAAGAGGACAACGGAGAAAGGAAAGGATCATGCCGAGTGGTAGCTTTGGGAAGCAGCAAACTAAAATCGAAAGTTGCTCAGAATTGCGGGCTTCGTGGAGGTGGGACCAGAGTCATGCCCGGGAAGAGGGAGCTGCGCCGAGTCCCGCCCGCCCCGCGCCGTCCCCACCCAGCCCCGCCGCAGGCCAAGGAAAACAGCCGCCTCCTCGAGGACACTGGCCGGGGCGCGGGCTGGCGGCGGGCGCCCCAGCCACCCAGCCGGCTGGCCGCGTCCGAGGCTGGCTTTTTGTTCTTGTTTTGGGATGTGCAGGAGGGGAGCCGGGAGGGTTTTTGTCGAGTCTTACCCCATTTTAGTCTCGTGGAAAGAAAACTTGCCGTAAGTGCACCTATCTGGGTGATGCGGAAGAACGTATGCACCCCTTCTCTTCTGCACGGAAAATGCCTTCGTGACATGCACTTGGAAAGGGAATGCTTTTTCTCGAAGGCTGCACAACAGCTAGGCGTCTTTGTCGCAACCACCGTGCAGTTCTGTTGTTTCTTCTTTCTCCTGATTTATGCATTCTCTCTCCCCCCTAACTCCCCCCCCCCCCCCATGGGAGGCTTGTTTCAACTTTAATTTGTGTGGCTCATCTGCATGGATCGAATTACCTTTCCAGGTGTTGGAAATGCGCGCTTGGGGTGGACTTGTGGGCAAGGCTAAGGTCAGCGTCTGGAGAAAGTTCACGCCCTTTAACTTTTCCCTGTTCCAGGAGCGATCTCCTTGGGAGCCGACGCTGGAGCCTTCCCGACCCACTCAGATTCCACGCGGACTCGGGAGGAAGGGGACCGCTTTCTGCCGTCGGCCTCACTCGCTGCCAAGAAGCCGGCCTTTGTTTTTGAAGTCTGGAGAGATGGACGAAGACGGTGCCGTCAGTTGAAGCCCGAAGAAGGAATCATCAGGGCATCCTTTCGGGGGCTTCATCAAAACATTGCCTCCCTGGCCCACTATTGGTTTCCCTGGCCCTCCCTCTCCTCGGAGCCTGGTGTGGAATTATTACCCTTTTTGCTGTGTGGCAGCCTTTCCCCCCAATGTGGACTCCAAAGGATTGGCTCCTTCTTTGTGATTTGAAATGAAATGATGGCCACACGTCGGACTGGTCAGCCGGAGGGAGATGGTGACACGCTCAAGGCCCACGGGTCCCCCGCCTGTGAGGTAAGTGCAGAGGCAACCTCCCCGGCCCACCGTGGCCTGGGTTTTTGGGGGTGCCCTCTCTCGGTGGGGGGGGAGGGACGCTTGTCACCGGGCCTAAGAAGAGGCTTTGGGGGGCTTTTATGTTAGCTGCTTGGTGGGAGCACCTCTGCCTGACCAGGAGCAAGGTGAAGCCTCACCCATTTTTATTTCCAGGAACTGCCGGTGATTCCTTTGCAGGAAAGTTTTCCTTACTTTGAAATGTCCCCATCTTAGTCATCGCTGAGGCTGAGCGGGGAATTCTCCCATTTCAGTTGTCTGGGAATACCAAACGGTGCCCTTCAGTCGCCATCCTCCAGGACTGGTGGCGCTGGGCAGGTTAGGGGGTGGCTGTGAAGGTGGTGCGTGCGCATCTAGGTTTGCTGTCTGAGGTGGTGGTAGTGGCTGTGCTTGTTGCACCTGAAGCTTCCTCTCTGATACCAGTGGGTGTCCTGGCTGCTGTTGATGCGGACCTCTGTTTTGGGTAGAAAAACACGTCTCTCCTAATGGGCATTTTAGGCACAGCCTTGGAAAGCTACTTTATAGAATTGTAATTCCACCTCCCTGAAAACTCTCCTGCCTTTACTGATCCTAAGGCTCACAGCAGACCTGTGAGCTGCTCTGGGGTGTTGGGTGGCTTGCATTGCCTTCTGACCAGCATCTTCGGAAAGGCCCGGAAGACTTTATGCCAGGCTTCTTGCAATGTTTTGAGCAGGCAGGACAGAAATCATAGGAAGTCCATTGATAGGCCCTGTTGCCTCGCATTTATGTTTTTCCATTATATTTGGAGTTTACTGCTACAATGACTATATTGTGTTTAGTTTGTTAGTGATAGTTTCTGTAATTTGCTTGCTAAATGTACTGAGTACTGCTATCCTTATAAACTTTACTTTTGAACTGCCTATATTTTTATTGAAAGATTGAAGGTTACTTTTGATAGCAATAACATTCCCAAATGAGCCTTCACTCTCAGTAGGTGTTAAATTTTAACTTTGTGGTCATCAAAACAAGGTCTAGTTCCAAGTGTGTGAGTTTTGGCATTTTAATAAAAATGAATCAGAAGTTAAATTTTTGTTTGGAAAGCATGCAAAGAAAATCACATCATGTAGTTTACTTCATATTGAATTAAAAAGTGCTTAGAAAATAGGGAGGGAGGTACAGTACAGTTTATAAGAACTATAGTTTACAGTTAGAATCAGTGTTTTGCTTTTTGACACCTGTAAGCACCTGCTTGCAGGTAAAAAACATGGTTAAGTATAACACCACAATCCTCTGATCATGGTAAACCATAATCACTCCTTTTGGAAGGTCAACCTACAACTGGTGATTGCTTAATGTGTATTGTAGTTACATAATAATATGTTCTATGGTCCTAAAGCCTTATTTGTCATTGTCTTGAGAATACTTTAATTAGCATTCATTTGCATTAATTTGCAAGGACTAATGTTATTTGAATTTTTTTTGGAGGGGGGAGCATTTAAAGGATGTCCTGCAATCAAGAATTTATAATAGACACATCTTGTCCTTGGCTTACAAGGCAGTGTTTCCAGTTGCAAACTTGGCTTTTATTAACAATGACAGTTATGTGTTTTTTTAAGGGCTGTGAAATTTGTTTTCACTTGGCCCTTACTGCTGGCATGGCCATATTATTTCTAGTCTGGGAACCAAGAAAGCGCTGTATTTTGCTCATTTAAAGATTATATACATACTTGAGTGTAAGTATCAACTTTGGGTGATAGATACTTAAGTCTTTGAACACTGTACTTAATTTTGGTGCTTAATTTTATCTGAAGTATTACATTCTAGAATGGTATTGTCATTTTTTAAAAACTTTAAAACCAATAACTGTGTTGTAAATGTATGTTGGAATAATAAATCTATGTGTTCTTACCTAATTAAGAGATGAGCATCTATGTTTTAATGTTAATGCTTTTAAAAGTATAACATTGTAGAACAGAAGCAATTCATGTAGTGAGTTAATAGGATTCACTGTTTCATGCCTTATCTAATAAGCTAACTCCACCTTCTATGAATAAGATCTATTGCTTTGTTGAAAAATAATCAGAAATTTTTTATTCATCTTAAGGATTAGAATCTAATTGTGTCAGTATACCAGTAAATGTAGGCACCACCTTCTAAGAATATACTGGAAGGTTAAAAAACAAATAACAATCCTCCTATGTAATAAAGAATTGCGACAGTCCAGTAGAATATATCTAGATTGGCATTATACAGTGATGATAACACATTGTGTTCACACAAAATTATATACTTTGCATATCGAAGATGTATTTTTCAAAATTGGTTTCACTTATTCTGATAAGTGGTTTTTGGTGTGTGTGTGTGTGTGTGTGTGTGTGTGTGTGTATGTATGGGAAGTATTCTGACACCTAGCCTTGAGTAACTTTGCTTATAAAATCACTTTGTTAGATTCTCTGAGTCCTCTGATATTCTCTCCCCCTTTCATATCATATAGTATTTATCCTTTGAGGTTAAACTTGCTTTTTCTTCTTTTTTATTTTTCCAAAGATGAAAACTGGCTTTCAGCTTTCTAGACACATTACTTCCCCATACCAGCACTTATTTTGCTTTTCATCCATAGTTCATAGTGTTGTCCAAGCGTTTAGCAATTTCACCATCTATTATTACAATAAACTTACTAATGCTAATTAACTTATTTTATGTTTTGCTTCTTCACCTAGACTAAGTTTATCCTATGACTATATGTATTATAGCTGATGAAAAATATCTGTTGGTTGATTTTGGAATAGTGTAAATATTAAAATAAGGCATTTTTTTGGTATGTGGGTTCATATAAAATTTTATATTTTGCTCTTCTTTCTGGAGTACATTCTATACACTTTGCTTTTATCCCAGATTCCCTTATTCCTTCTTAAGCTCTCCCTTCATACCTCTCCCTCTTGCTCTTTCTTTCTGTTTTTAGGATTCTTCCTCGTCTGCCCCCTTCCTGTTGGTTTTAACCAGACCCAGGCCCTCCTAATTCCTCTATTCTCTTTTCTCATTCCCTGGTTTTATTTTACACTCTCCCATGGCTTTAATTTAATTTTAGTGTATGTCAGTGATTCCAAATTTAGCACTCTATTGCAGATTTTATTCTTTATATCTAGACCTGTATAGCCAATTGCTGTTTACCAGTGTTTTTATTTTTTGGATAGCGCACAGGCATTTCAAACTCAACAAATTGTTCCCCTACCATCAACCTGTGTTTCTTCTTTTAGTGAGTAGCACCACTATCTCCTTATTTGTCCAGGTCAAAAACTAGGTTATCATCCCTGACTCATCTTACTCCTCTTTCCTCCTATCCAAAGTCCTATTGAGTCTACATTCCAAATCCTACTGTCACTACCTGAGCTAAGGCCAGCTACATCTCCATGGTGAGCCCAGGCCAGGCCGTCTCCTTCCATCGCTCTGTCCCTGCCATAGGCTGCTCCTCCTGCAGTAGAAAGTTGATCATTGCATTCCCCTGTGTAAAAAAATTTTCTGGTTCCCCATTGCCTTGGGAATAAAGTTCAAACCCTGAGAAGTTTTACAGGACAATGACAGTCTGGTTGGCCCATCTCCTTTCTCATCTGTTTCCTCGTTTCCTCTTTCTGTACAGCTTCCCCTGAGCTGCTTTCAGTTCCCTTGGGGCATCAGTGTCTCTTCACTTCAGGTCCTTGTAAGTGCAGCTTTCCGTCACCCTTCCTTCAGCCCCCTCCTCTGCCTTCCCCTCTCCCTAGCTGATTTACTCATCATTCTGTACTTTTCTTCAGTATTACTTCTCCAGGAAAAGCCTTCCCTGATCTTCTAAGAATGGATTAGTTGCCCCTAGTGCAGTATCCCAAGACACCCTATACCAGTGGTTGGCAAACTGCGGCTCTCGAGCCACATGCAGCTCTTTGGCCCCTTGAGTGTGGCTCTTCCACAATATACTGACTTCTGCGCATGGCCACGAAGTTTCAGTCGCACTGTACGTGCGCGCCTGCACGTGGTATTTTGTGGAAGAGCCACACTCAAGTGGCCAAAGAGCCGCATGTGGCTCGCGAGCCGCAGTTTGCCGACCACAGCATACCATATTAGGAATAGCACTTAAAAGTTTATTGTCTGTATTCCCCCGGATTGCAGGCCCCATAAGAATAGGGACCATGTTTGTTTCTAAGTGTGTAGTACATGGTAGGTGCTTAATAAATATTTGTTGAATGAATGAATGAGCAGGAAAAGTCTTAATTTTGATTAAATGTTCACTTAGATTTCGGTATATTATACTCTCTTGATTACCCCCCAACTTTATTGTTTCCTCTTCCTCAATCTCTGAGTATAAAACTGCTAATTTATGTATGTACGTATGCACGTGTGTGTGTCTTTACCCCTTGAATTCAGACTCCTATATCCAACTGATCTGACCACACAGAAACTCCACTTGGATATTAAGTAGGCATACCCCAAACCAAATTCCTGCTTCTCTACATCCACTCCCCCAGCTCACCTTCCCAGTTTGCTCTTTCTACAGCCTTTCTCATCTTGAGCAATAGTAATCCCACCCTTCCAGGCCAGGCATCTGGGAGTGATCTTTGATCTCCCATTTTTCTCAGGTATAGCATGCAAGTCTGGTTGACTGGTCTCTCAGCCATGGTAATCAGAGTGGACCTTTTAAAAAACAGATCATGTCACTGCTTTGCTCATATTCCTCTAATGCAGTGGTTCTCAACCTTCCTAATGCCGCGACCCTTTAGTACAGTTCCTCATGTTGTGGTGACCCCCAACCATAAAATTATTTTCGTTGCTACTTATAACTATAATTTTGCTACTGTTATGAATCGTATGTAAATATCTTTTATGCAGGATGTATTTTCATTGTTACAAATTGAACATAATTAAAGCATAGTGATTAATCACAAAAACAATATGTAATTATATATGTGTTTTCCGATGGTCTTAGGCGACCCCTGTGAAAGGGTCATTCGACCCCTAAGGGGTCGCGACCC